AGTCAGCAGGACCAGTGGTTTGTTAGCCTGCCATTTACTATAAAAAATAAAAATCAATAATGCTGAAATGTAATTTTACATCTCTTCATTGTGAGAGGAATGATTGTTTCCAGTCACACGGGATGTGAAATGTCAGTGGCCAATCCATTGTGAGTGATACAGAGAACCAATTAAAGCTAACTATGTAACAAATCTATGTATCAAATAATTTAATAAAATAACAAAATGTAATAAATAAGTAATTTAATAAATACTTACAGCTAAACATCTAAACCTCACACATCACAATCTCACTCAAAAGTAGTATAAGAAATGATATATAGGGTTGATTATTTACCACAGTGACATGCCGTTTAACAAGACAAGCCTCTCAAAATAAAAAAGATAGTGTTCTGTTTCAAAGTGATGAAATGGCATGTTCAACAGCACGCTTTAGAAGACCACAGCAAACACAGCAATTAGCCTGAATACACTTTGAAGTTCTACATTTCTGCCGTCTTTGTGTCTACATACACTTAAACACTCATACTGTTATTAACATGACTTCACACACACACACTGTGCTACTAGAGCAGAAGATATCACTGTGAAGACGGCAGGGGTCAGAGCTGATTCTTTGCTTTTTTACCATAACTTGGGGTCAGTGCAGTACAGGAAAATATATGAGAAGTGTTTTCAAATATGTACCACTACCACTGATACAAATAATAATAATAATGAAAAATATATGAACCAATTTCAGTGAAAAAATTAAACGAATGACTTTGTTAGAATTTGGTATGTCACGTCCACCTTTTGCATCAGTGGAAAACAAAGTGTTTAAATAGTGTCACACATTTGCTTGCATTGGATCAGAAATATATATATATATATATATATATATATATATAATTTAAATATTTCTTCATAATGTTCAGTCTTTGATTTAAATGAAAACAAAATCTAAATACAGTATTTAATTAACCTCTCTGTATGCACTATGTTATGGCATTATGTACATTTTGCATGTGGTTTTCTTGATCTCAGTTGTGATGATGCATGTTTATGAGTTCTGTCATGGGTTTTACTGTATTATTCACTGTATCTATAACAGTATATTCACACCTACAGGTCTTTTCATCAGAGGTGTGGTTTTGTATCATTAGTGTTAACTTCTGCTTTAGTAGTAAGTTAGATGTTGCCAGACCCTGTCATTTGTCACTGGCACCAGGGCTAGTCCAGACAACATCTCAGTGTCATCAACACAAAAAAACACACACCTCATCATCGGCTGTGGCTCAGCAATTTGAGATAATAGGCAGCTGCCAAAACAAAAATAAGATACGTGTAATGTTTGCTGGAAACGTGATAAAATAGGGTCCTGATAATGACAGTATTCAGAGGACAACAGGCACAAGTAATGACAGAAGAGAGAAGAGGAACTCAACTGTAGGCAAATAACCAGTATGGGGTCTCAAAAGTAACTGGAGCCTTTGTTCTGGGGACATATGTCATGTGACTAATCACTTATCTAAGGCAGGAGACAAGGGGGAAAAACTCAATTATACTGTAAAAATCTCCAACTGGAAAACATCTAATAAAATGTATGTGTTACTTGGAAAAATATTCAATCAGAATACACAGTGGCTGTCAATAAAGAAACATGCGGTAACACTTTATAATAACTACACGCTAATCATTAGTTAAGCATGAGTAAACCATTAATTCATCATTCATAAAGCATTAATAGACATTAATAAGCAGTTCATAAATACAGCTATAAATGCTTTCTTCTTGATTTAAAAGCATATCTATAATTTGTTTAATAATTGTATTTGCATCCTTTATTAATGATCAATTTATCATTTCTAAATGAAGAATTGCATTTTTTATTAACCAGTTATTTAAGAGTTGTCCGTGGTTCATACTATTACTTAGAGCGAGTAAGTAAATGATTAATAAACTATTTAAATGTACATTTATACATCTTATTATTCAGACATATAGAGATGGTTACTTAATGTGTTAATAAATGCTTTATTAACATGTATTAATGCTGCAATTTAGGGTTAATTTGGGTAGTTATAAAGCATTTAGTAGTGGTCAGTTAACTATGTTCGTGAGCTCATCTAAAGTGAGGACTAGTCATGCCTTGTAAAGCATTTTTAAAGGCTGTTAAATATTTCTATGTTCTGTATCACTGCGTTGTGTTTGTTACATTTTACTGTTTAGAAGATTGACGAGTCTTTAAATCGCCTTTATAAATGCTTTACAAAGCATGAATAGTCCCCACTTTAGATTAGCTCACAAAAATAGTTAACTGACCACTACTAAATGCTTTATAACTACCTGTATTTACTACATTTACTTACACTTTCCAAGTGATCTTATGAATGACTGACAACTCTTAAACAACTGGTTTGTAAATAATGCTATTCTTCATTTAGAAATTATTAATTGATCATTAACAAAGTATGAAAATACACTCATTAAACGCATTATAGATATGCTTATAAATCAAGAAAAAAGCATGTATAGCTATATTTATAAACTGCATATTAATGTCTATTAATGTTTTATAAATGATGAATTAACTGTTTACTCACGCTTAACTAATGATTGATAGTGTGCAGTTATTATAAAGTGTTACCAAAAATGCTTCTTTTTGCTCTCATAATGTTGTAGAAGAGTATCTACCAACAAAAGACTAAGGGTGTGATAAAAAACAGCCAATTTTTGACCTTCTTGGTATAAGCTATAGTATTTTCTTTGCATGTGGCAGGAAAACCAAGTAACGACTAAACCAATCCAAGTTTTCACAGACTTGACAACTACAGAGTTACATTAGAGATATAATGATGTACAGCCACATTGTTTGTGTAAAATGTTCACTAATGCTTTTGGAGAATATCACATTGCTCAACGAGACGGTCCGTCAATGTCTAACTGTTTACTTAACAGATAGGCTTGTGGATATGGCCGTTGACTGAATTCTGGGTCCCATGACTGTATATTGCTCTGGTCCCTGCAGTTCTTCCAGAACTCAAGCCCTGTTCACACTACACGCGACTTTGTCGCTGCAGGTCGCCTGTGGCCGCGCTGGAGGGCGTTCCCCACTACTGGTTGCCTAGTAATGTTTGTGAGTGACGGTTTATTGCCGCTACAAACAAATATTTGGTAAGGAAAAGTCTAAATATAAATGGAATCAGTATAAAATGCATAATATTAAAGATGAACGAGAAACAGTGAGTGCTCTTTGCCATCGCGGCAATTTAACTGCAGCAAACGGGCAAATACCAGTCTATCTGGGTTCCCTGAAACCATTCAGTCACGGAGTCAGTACGACGAACACCACTGTATGTACACGGAGATATATCATGAATTATAGGACAGTTTCTGACTGCTAAAATGAGCTTCTCATTCAACTTGCCTCGGTCAGACTCAGCACTGAAGAGTGACGCGCTCCACTGACTTCACTCCTATTGGTTGTCGCTCGCGGAAATCGCCCTTCATTTGCATAAAGTTAAAGATTTCCAGATAATGTCTAATTGAAGAGAATTGGCAATGGCTGGTTACTTCCGGGTTCTGGACTGGCTGCAGTAACACGTCTCTGTCCATGCGGGGGCGCTAGCGGTCGAGTGCAGAATGAATGGGAGTCAATGGGGTTTCACCCCCGGAAATCCACTTTTCTCAGGATGTAATTTTTTGTCAAGTAATTTGAAAGTTGCATTCAAAAGGGAGGGCTAAGAAAATACACTCAGCTGAAAATTGCATGTTTAAGTTCACTGATCTGTTCTAAAAATCCGTTCAAAAATGTGATGACGTCACACAATAGCAGAATGCTACCCAGACAGCAAACTGACATTGAATCAACGTGGAAACGACGTCTCTCATGACATTGAAACAACGTTGATTTTGCTCATCGAATTAACGTTGAACCAACGTCAGATGCGGCATTCTTCAAAGCTAAATGAAAATCGAAAATTGGTTTGCTTTCATAACGTTGAAACAACGCGTTGATTTCAAGTTGATTTTCCGTTAGTTTTGAAAGAATGACGCGCCTGACGTTGGTTCAACGTTAATTCGATGAGCAAAACAATATCAGATCAACGTTGTTTCGATGTCATATTTCCACGTTGATTCAATGTCAGTTTGCTATCTGGCTAGCGTGTTCCGGCCAACAACGGCCTAACCTGTAAGAAATCAAAAGGACATAAGTACTCGTTCATTCGACTTTTGGCCTATAATCTATATTGAACTTGCGGAATCAACAATAAAATCTATTTTGAATTAACGACAAGCAGGTGAAAGAGACACATTTAGCCGTTTAGCCCCATAGACTTCCATTTATTCTGCTCTCGCCCGCTATCACCCCCAGTGGAATTCTAATGGAACTGCAACCAAGATGATGCACAACGGGGCTAATAGGAAGTGCCAAGGCTCTCCGTTAGACGGGCTCTGACATTTCTCAACTTTGTCGCGTCGCTGGACACGCCCCATTGGTCGCCGGAAGTCGCATGCTCACCATTGATAATGAATGGTATCGCGTTGCTTGGTCGCGTGTAGTGTGAACGGGGCTTCAATCAGCATAATCAGTTCCAGCAAGCCTTTTGGGAGGTGTGATAGTGGAAACAGAATGCAGAACGTCTTAACAGTGGGCAGAAACCAGCACCTGAGCCTTGACGGTTATTTGGTATATCCCATTTTGTTTATGCTTATATCACATTTGATCCATTTTATATGCACTCTAAAGCACTTATTTGAAACAGATTATTTACAAATGTTTGGATTTCATTACACATCATGTCCATCTAAAATGAGCAATAAGTTGTGTACACAAAAATGTAGGCTTTTGTACAGAAAATATTTTATTACTTTTCAGTTGATTGTACCACAAGATCAAATTTTTTTATTTATAAATTAATCATTTTATGCAACATTTAACTTCAACATTTAATACAACAATTATAATTCTATGAACACAGCACTTTTTAAAATAGACTTAACATTTCCCTGCTTACCTTTGTTCCGGCGCCATGACAATTCATGTCGATCCTCTGGAAGCGAGAGAGACAGATAGACAAAGAGAGAAGTTCCAGTCAAAACCTGTTGTTGGAGTCACCCTCAACCACACGCGAGCGTGCGCGCGCACACACACACACACACACACACACACACACACACACACACATTTATACGATCAGGCAGAGGGTGCTTATCTAATGTTCAGGATTAAATTCAGTTACCCTCGAGGGATTGGGTTAGATGTCAGAAAGATAGATGGGCATCATGCTGAAATACCAACGCGCAAAAATCATTTTGCATGTGCTTGTGTGTGTGTGTGCACAAATATAATGCAAATATAGACATGTATGTCCTCTCTTCCCAGGAGCATTATGTAAACAAGGGAATGGAGATGGCATCACAGCAAAGCACTCTATAACAGCCAATGAATCATTTTGAAACTTTCATTTAGTTGATTTGCACCAAAGTCAATATTAAATAAAAAGGAATGAAGTTAAAGAATTTAACCGGAAAGCAAAACAATAACATCTCCCGATGACGTATTCTTCAATTATGACATCAATAAAAGTAAGGAAAGTAAATCAATCCATCAAATGGGTGTATTTAATTGATGTATTTTAACTGCTTAGACATATTTCAAATGAAATTAATTTAAATAGTATTTCTCTCAATATTCAGAGCATAACAGATTGGAATGTAGAATGAATTAAAGACAGCAGATATTGGGGCATCATCCATGAAACAATTTAGCAAATTGAGTTATACCATTACATTTATATTGCACACAAATTTGCTCTGCTTGTTATTCATAAATGAATTGTGTTTTTACTCAAACAGAAACTGCTTACTTCTAATTTAATGGAGATTCAACTTTAAGCTGAAATAACTCTTTTGTGTTCTGTTGATGTTATTCCGTTAATTCTTATATTATAGCTTTCCGTAAAGCTAATGGATAGAACAAAATGAACAGATTTTTAACTAAATCTTTGACATGGTTAAATAAATGATTATCTGTGTTCCATAAACAAAACAAAAAAAAGAAAAAATAATAATAATAAAGGTGAGACAGGTTAGACAATTTAATTCCATAACCTCTGATTGGTTTCACTTAATTTTGATGGTCCCTTTAACACATGTAAGAACGTCTTTTGATAGTAGTGTAATTTGGTGGTATCATTTTCAATGAATGCTACAAATCCTTGCATGCACTGAATTAACATGCATTGAACAAAGAGAACTAATTAGTAACTAATTTCATCCGCTGTCAGTTTCAGATCATTAGAAGGCCATGAATTCAAGCATTAACATAACACTTTGACTAACATGTCTAACCATAATCATGTTAAAGTGATACGTTTTAAATTACATTAAGATCTAAAATATTAATGCAACAGACAAGAGAAAGCAATATTTTCTTCGAATTATTATATATTATTTATACAATTCAAAATTGTGATATCACATCCAAAACTTTCTTTCTTTCTTTCTTTCTTTCTTTCTTTCTTTCTTTCTTTCTTTCTTTCTTTCTTTCTTTCTTTCTTTCTTTCTTTCTTTCTTTCTTTCTTTCTTTCTTCACTCACGCACACACACACACACACCTGTGTTGGTGTGCTGCAAGGGTTCTCAGGAGAGTCTGGTGCCTGCAGTACTGACTGGTCATACCTTTACTGGAGAGCTGCTCTCTGCCCTCAGGCTACTGCTTAGCTATTCAACTCTGACTACAATCCACAGCCTGTGCCTTTTATAATGTGCCCATTTCAAAGATACAGTGCCGTAATGAATTTACAGACCTTGGGAAGCTCTGTCTGATATACTTCAGACAAGAAGACACTCTGCTTCTCTTTATCTCTCTCTCGTTCATCTAGTTTGGCGAAATTTGCCTACTTCATACTGGTGAGCTTCTATAAGTACTTAATTAAATCAATTTTGTAAATGTTATTTCTGTAAATAGCTGATGCACTGAAGCAGAAAGAGAATAGTAGGACATTTATAGAGAGCGAGGGAGAAATAGAGAAAAGAGAAAAAAGATCAAACAATAAAGAAGAGGGTGATAAACTGTATGTGTGAGGTTGGGATGGTGATATTGTGCAGAGGTAAATTATTCTAAGAACACGCAGGAGTAATAAACGTAGATACACAACCACATTAACATCGATAACACTGAACAAAGAACAGGAATATTTTTTTCAAGATGTAAAATATGAACGTATTTTGTATATTTTTTTAACCGAGGGAGTCACGTTTTTGGGGTGGGCAAAAACGCTAAATTTTTGTGTCTACCTTTTAATACAAAATGAGCTATTGCTCCCGGCCCCCTCTCAAGAAGAGAGCGGAGCTTCAAGAGTTCATGCAACATCAAAACAGGACAATCACAAGCACTGAAAATGTCAGAAACTGTCAGTATGGTGTTCAGTTCAAACCAGAGTGACATGGAGATAGAACAGGCAGGGGCGATTCCAGGGTTTTATAAATGGGGGGGCGGCAGTGGGGACAGGGGGGGGGGGCCCATGGGAAATCTGAAAATTCAACTGGAAATAAATACTTGTTTAGAAAATTTTAAGCACGATTTAAAAATCTTTGCAATGCCCAGTGCCCTAATATAAATGGTATTAAATGTGGCACTTAACAAGAGCCTGAATATCCTTTTGTATTTTACATGGATTGGACCACACAGTTTTGTTCTAATAAATAAAAAACTTCTCAGTTACGTATGTAACCCTAGTTTCGCTGGGAACAAGGGAACAAGATGTTGCGTCGAACACTGTGGAAACGTCATCGACCTGGAAACGGGTGTATTCACACCAGGAAGTTCCGATAGTTCACTTGCTTTGGTCCGGACCAAATAAATTATTATTATTATTTTTTTTTTTTGGTACGGTTTGCTTTCACTCTGCTCTTTTTGCAAGTGAACCAAAATTTGGAAACAAAACCACACATGTGCTAAGGTCGTCCATTCATTGGACAAGGATTCTCAAGGGAAATCATCTGGAGGCCAGTGCAACCAGGAGTGCTGTCTTCATGGACAGAAACTTTAACTCTACCGATTGCAAAGGCTCAAAGGGAGGCCTCTGCAGAGCACTTAGAACTACCGAGAGGTCCCAAAAGGGTACGAGGGGAGGACAAGGCGGATGTAGCCTCCTCGCTCCCCTCAGGAACCTGATGACCAGGTCATGCTTCCCTAAGGACTTACCTTCTACTGCTTCAGGGTGGAGGGCGACAGCCTGCGCTCCAACCCTTCTTGCAGGAAGGAAAGCACGACACCGATCGAACATCTCCGGGGGTCTTCTCCGCGAGAAGAGCACCAGCTGACGAAGAGGTTCCACTTCAACGCATAAAGGTGTCTCGTGGACGACACTCTAGCGGAAGTGATGGTTGCCGCCACCGCAGGTGGCAGCGAACTCAAACCTGCCTCGTCCCGTCCAGGAGCCACACGTGGAGTCTCCAGAGCTCGGGACGAGGGTGCCACAGAGTGCCCCGTCTCTGAGTGAGTAGGTCCCTCAGAGGAATAGGCCAAGGAGGTGCTGTCGCGAGGAGCATGAGTTCGGAGAACCACGTCTTGGTCACTGGGGGAAACGCATACTTGCGTGGGTCTGGCCAGCTCTGCGCCAGTGCATCTGTGCCGAGCGTACCCTTGGTCAGGGAATAAAACTGTATCTGAATAAAACAGATCTATCTGTGCCTCCCCGAACTGGTCCCAAATCAGCTGGACCGTCTGGGGATGGAGTCGCCATTCGCCGGAGATAGGGCGGACCCGTGACAGCTCGTCGGCTGCCAGGTTCCGGTCTCCTGGAATATATACTGCACGAAGGGACCTCAGGTGCTTCTGACTCCATAACAAGAGGTGGCGGGCGAGCTGCGACAACCGGCGTGAGCGTAGACCACCCTGGTGGTTGATGTACGCTACTGCAGTGGCGATCGAGGCAATTGATGTGCATGAGGCGCTGGGCTCCTGTCCAGGAACCCGCGGCTGCATGCCCATTGCACATGGCACCCCAACCCGTGGTAGATGCATCCGTGGAGACAACGAGATGCCTGGAAACTCGCTGAAGAGGGACACCGGTCCGTAAAAAGCTGAGGTTCGACCACGGGAAGAAGGTTCGGCGGCATGCTTAAGTCACTGGAACTCGGAGCGAGCCGCGATGCCATGCCCACCTCGGGACTCGATCGCGAAGCCACAGCTGAAGCGGTCTCATATGAAGCAAACCGAGCGGCGTTGCCGCGGCTGTGGATGCCATATGCCCCAGGAGCCTCTGAAACAGTTTCAGTGGAACCGCACTCTTGCCCTCGAACTGTCGAAGACAAGTCAGCAGTGAGTGCGCGCGAGGGTGGGTCTAGCTCCGATTTGTTTGAAAATATTCGAACGTCAACACCCAGGATCGCTTTGAGAACCTTTAAGGATACGTTTTTGGCTTCAATATCTCAAGGAAAAGAGGTATTCCCCTAGCGTAGGAAATTACACAGTACTTGTACCTTCTCTAGAGAGGTACTCTAGTAACCGAGTACGTTTTTGCTGACTGACTTTGATCGCACGTATCTACAGCACAGTTTGCAGTTCAGGCTGCAATATTAATATTACATGTTTTGTCTCGAAACGCATATTTGACTGAGTTGACAGTAGTATTAGCTTGAGTTAGGATGCAGGACATTAAATTTATGTTTTTTAACAAAACAGTAACATCTGTTTAAAAAAAATGTAACAACCAGATTTTTATTCGGTTAAAAATGTAACAACCACATTTTTATTCGGTTAAATGTAATATTCTGACTGTTTGAGTTTTATCTCCCTTTCTGCCATGCGTGCTACACGGTTTGGAACACAGTATGTTATGTCTCGCATGCCCGCTCTACATTCCGGGAATTTTAATTTGGGGGGCATCAGCGAGCCGCTATCAATGTGCGGGAGACTTACGGAACTTCTGGGGGACTTGGGATGTCTTCACTTGATCTTGTGAGCGAGACTGATCAGAGTAAACAATGTAAACGCGTTTGCTCTAGTGAGCTCACACTGCCATTTGGACTTTGAG